CCACGGAGAGGCACGGAGAGGTGCGACTGAGAGCGCGCCTGTCATGGAAGGTCTTCGAGGGCTTCTTCGTTCGAAGTGGTACTGCCTGCGGATGTAGCTGGGTTGTTACCTCCAGCACTGGCTGCAGTTAAGCTCGGCGTCGGACTCGACCCATCTCACACACGGCTTTACGAAAATTGCTGCGGCGCTCGTCTTTGTTTCACGCGGTGGACAGGTGCGCCTTGGATAAGCAATCGCTCCCCCCATCGGCCCCGAGTCGAGTTCATGGAAGGGGCAAGCAAGCAGAGGACAGACACATTGTATCTTCGAGTGGGGAGCGAAGCAATGGCCGACTTGATCTCTATTGGAGCCTTCTTGGAGCCTTTTACAGCCTCTTGGCGGCCTCTAGAGCAATCTTGGGGATGTCGCGGGGTGAGCTCGGAAGCTCTGGCTACCCTCATTATGTCCTCTAGTGCTCCTCATGAGGACCCATGGGACTATGGGCTCATCTTGGGATCACCTTGAGGCTTTGTATGCCCATGCAGAGTCGGAAAACAGCGCGCGCGGACACCACACAATTCATGCATGTACCATGATCGAGGTATTACCTACGGCGTACAATATGTATATATATACATATACACATAGAGAGATATATAGGGTCAACTTTTGTTGTGGACCGTGGAGTGCAAGATACGGGGTGCAACTCATCATGGGATGCAGCGTGTGGGGTGCAATTTGCGGGGTGCAGTCCTTCAGTTGAAGCTCATCGGGCACAACGGCGCAGTCTACGTGGTGCTACAAGGAGTGTGATCTAAGAGGTGCGCTTCTCGGTGGGGCCGTATGGGCGGACCCTCTGGCTGGGACCCGGATGGGTGGTCCCTACCAGTGGGATTTGATCGATTTGCCCCGATAGGTGGGACCTTGTGGGTATTAGTTTCACCCTGTGACGCCCACCGCAGAACCCAGTTATCAGGCCATCCAGACAATTCTTTTAAATAGCAAACATAAAAACCATAAAACATAAAAAAAAAAAAAAAAAAAGTTATCAGGTCATCCAGACTGAATAGGCCCAGCGCCCACAGCCAGGCCCGGGCCACCGGGACCAGGCGCCCGCCGACAGGGCCAGGTGTGTGACGACCGCCGGAGCCAAGCCACCGGGGGAGAGCCCGTGGCGACACAGGAAAGAGACAACTTGTGCAAGCAGCGTATGGAGCACGCGGATATTCAAGGGTTCAATGATTTCGGCTCTGCGCGAACGAAATGGGTACGGAAAGAATGGGTACAATGCCCAACAGCAGTTGCGATTCATTTTGAACAGGACGCGCTGTCCGCGCCGCCGCGGCCTGTGTCCATTTGAGACAGAAGGCCGCCTGCCCAACAGCGGCCGCTATTGGTTTGGGACAACATTTGTTGTTGGGCATTGCACCATTTTTTCCCGTACCCATTTCGGGCGTCCATATCGGCATCCTGGGGTCCTCAGAAGGCCCGAAGGCCGCCTTTGAGTTGCACTGGCCTTGTTGGAGGCTATCGATTTTTGTTCGGCCCATCCCGCGACCGTGCCTGGGTTTCGGGTCAGAGGCTTTTTGGATGCAGAGGGGTTTCTTGGCATGCCTCTCGGGGGCCTCTTGGAGACCTCTCGGGGGTCTCTTGGGGCCTCCGTGGGGGGCGTCTCGGGGCCTCTGAGGAGCCTCCTGAGGGCCTCTGAGTGCCCGGGGGGTGTCTCGGTGGCTTCTGGGGGGATCTTGGGGCCTTCTTGGGTTGGATTACTCCGAATGTCAGTTCGTGTTGCCCCTTTTGAGACGTCTTGGGGGCCTCTTGGGCTCGATTTGGGGGCTTCCTCGGCCGTCTTGGGACCGTCTTGGGCCGTCTTTGAGGCCGTTTAGGGGCGGCCGTGGGGGCTTCTTAGGCCGTCTTGGATGGTTGGAAGCCCAAATTTCAAACGATGTGCCGGGGTCAAGAGGCCTCTTTGGCGGGCCATCGCGCTCAACGCAAAGGAAATCCGCGAACGTCAGAGTCCTTTAGCAGAGCGCCAGTCTGCGAATTGGCTTCAAACCGTGTGTGCTCAATCGCCTCACTTCCTCGGCGCGTGTCAGCGAAGCGTCGCTCTGCTAATGGGAGCCCTCGGAATAGAAGTCCGGGATTTCTCGGGACCTCATTTAGCAGAGCGCCGCTCTGCTAATTGCTTTCGCGCGACCAGGAAGCACGAGTGCGCACGTCTTGGGCCCAATTCGGCGAGCGGCGCTGTGTGGGAGGAGAAGCAGCGGGTACGCGTGCTTAGAGGCCCAAAAAGAAGAACGCGCCCTGCCGATTGGAGCCCAAGGCAGGGTGGAACTCCATGGGCTGGGCAAGTGGAGCTGATCATGTATGCTCAATGCATCTAAAAAACAGCGAGTCCCAATGGGGCCTCGGGACACTTCACTTTGTTTCTCGAGGCACGGTGTCGGATGTTAGGTAAGTTTGACCAACCGCGGGCCATCCTAGAGGTCGTCTTGGGCCAGTATTGGGCCATCTTGGGGCCATCTGGGAAATAATACTGGCGCCATCTTGGAGGTCGTCTTGGGCCAGTACTGGGCCATCTTGCGGCCATGCTGGGGCCACCTTGAGCAGCAGGCGCGCGGCCAGGCGAGGCAAAACGGCGAAACAGATCGCATCACGGACGGTCCACCCCGTTGGTGGCGCAAGGGGTTTGTATACCAAAGGCGGGTTATTGGAAAGGACAACCCGGGGAAGAATGAGGAGGAGGAGGAGGAGGAGAAGGAGGACGAGCAGAAGAGGAGGAGGAGAAGAGGAGGAAGAGGAGGAGGAGAAGAGGAGGAGGAGGAGGACCCGCCCGTGACACAGATCTCCATATCCCAAAGGGGTGCTACGGGGAAGGGCATACCTCTCCCCGAGGGAAAGGAGCCGTTACAGTAATGAACCAGCTGTCCGAATTTGAGGTTTCCAAGGATACCGAGGTGTCGCCCGCACAACGTAGACACTGTACGATCTGGAACGTGGGTCTCAGCAAATCCGTTCTGTTGCGCCTGCATCAAGGACTGAGCCATGCCTGGAGGACGTCTTGGGGCTGTGCGCTAAGTGTGGAACCCCAAAGCGGGGGCACCAGCGATGATCAACATTCTGCTGGACATTGGCCAACAGGTCACTGCACAGAACGTGGAAGGCGATGCTGGGCGATTTGCCGTGCAAAGATCACTGGCCCGTCAGCCGCACGGAGCAGCACCACCATCGGATTCATACTTTGCGGCTCGGGGCCGATTTCGATTCCAGCTGAGGCAGCTCGTTGGGTCATTCATGTTTCTGTTCTGGCGTTGCGGCGCGTGGGCAGTGAACACCACTAAGAGTCTACGATCTACAGCGCTGGCCGCGCACTTGCAGAGGGATCGACGGGTATGGGAGTGCTGCCAGGACTGCTACCCCACAAGATGCCACAGTGAGCGTGCCTGCATCGCAGGGGCCAGGGGCATCCGATCGTGTATCACGCGACGTGGCGCGGCAACCTGCACGGCTCTGCAGACGCGCAGGCTGTCAGCTGCGCCTGTGCTCGTACAGGCTGAACTTCGCATCACCGGCGGGAGCTTCCAGGTGGCGGGAGCGCCGCGCGTTCTCTCGAGCCAGGGCTCCCTGCTGTGCTCTCTGCTCGATTTTCCCGTGCGCGGGCGGTTCCGTCGCCCCAGACAGCGGCGGCAGCGGCGGCAAGCGGGCGCCCGCGGGGAGGCGAGCGACTGCCACAACGGCGGGGTGAAGACCCAGGTGCTCACAGGCCCCCCCCCCTCTGCGGCGGGAGGCCCTCCCGTGCTCCAGGCAGGAGTCCTGCCTGGAGTGTGGGGGGGGGGGCCGCCGCTCTGCTCGCCCAGCTCGGCTGCTCTCTCCCCGGGCTCTCCCCCGTCTGTGCCCCCCTCTCTCTCTTTCCCTTTTCTCTCTTTCACTTTTTTGTTTTTCTCTCTCTCTCTCTCTTGTCTTTATCTGTCTCTTTCTCTTTCTTTATTTCTGTCCCTCTCTCCCTCGTTCTCTCTCTCCACCCACCCGTTTTGTCTCATCCGTCTTCCTGTACGTTTTTCTCCACCAGCAGGCTCCTCCGCAACCGAGGAGGCTCGAGGCTCCCGACGTGCCCAGGCCGCGCTCGCAGCACGGACGGGAGGCGGACCCGCAAGCGCGGGCCTCACTAGCCATAAGAAACGAAACTCTCTTCATACCTCGGCTGATCCGGCTTGTGCAACGGTGGCCGCGGGATCAGGTGCCTGGTGTTCGTGCCGGGTGTGCCGTCCATACGCGTGTTCTTCTTGTGGTGAGAGATCTTTTTCATAGGTGTGATCGTGCTCGTAGATTGGCTGTTCGAGTCTTCAGACGGCGTCCCCATTGGATTCGCAGATATGCACCTAGAATTTGTTAGGCCGCATCCTCTCGTACGCGGAGGTGGAGCACGTGAAGATGACTGCGAGCAACCTGTGGCGCAACCCAGAGGGCAGCGGCGAGAACTCGCTGGAGAGCGCCCGACAGACTTGGCCGAAACCTCACGGCCACACTGGCCCCGCCCAACTGCGCAGCCAGCGGCAGCTCGATGCACCTACATGTTCTTGTCCGATGTCTGCTCTGCTTCGAGGCGTTTGCTGCAGAGCCAGGTCCGCGACCATGTGCTGACGTGGCTCTGGCACCGTCGGGATCACCGGCATGCTGTGGTCCACGCGTGTGCTGCGCTTGCCTTCTTCATCGACTACGTCCTGGCTCCCACTCCAGAAGGCCTCCGTCCGCTTCAAGGTTCCCCTTTACGGTCCTTGATTTCGTTCATCTTGATATTCAAAGGTGTCCTGCAGCCCCGGCGACACGTGGTACATGGTGAAGTGCAACACCCGCCACGATGGATTCGGCGAGTTCTCCCATATCTGGCACAGGAGTGGACAGATGCCCTGCATGACTGGCACCACCCGATGCTCTCCATCGCCTTCGCGGTGGCGCTGGGCATCAACACGGACTATACGGCCACAGTGTATTTGCTTTCGACGGAAGCCCACGACTACGTCGGCAAGGCCATGTTCCGCACTGGGGGGTTTCTTGGAGTGCAAGGCCGTGTCGCGGAGCACGTCCGCGCCCTGCTCTCCCCCCGCACGCGGCCTGGATGCCGCCCGCGGTACCAGCAGCTTCGCCTGTGCCTCGGGTCCCTGTTCTTCTTGCCACTGCTGCTGCTGGACACCGAGAGGGCCGCATTCCACTTTGAGCGGCAGGCGCTGGTGCAGAGGCAGCCTTCCGCAAACGCTGCAGATGCCAGGGGGGCGGAGGCGGTGAGCGCCAAGAAGGGCCTCGGGACCTTGGCCCCGCTGAGCTGCCCACATCGACGGCGCCGCCGCCCCCCCCGCTGGGTGCGGGCCCCGCGCCGACGCGTCGGTGGCAAGCTGTGGCAGCACGTCTTCCAGCGCTACACGGAGGACCCCACCGTCGAGGAAGCGCTCTTTCCAGGGGCCCTCGGCGACTCAGCCCCGTATGCCATGCTGTACCGACGCCAATTGGAGGAGTGGCATCACCGCAATGGCCAGGAAGGCCCGCTGTACATCCTGGAGCCGCGCCGCGCGGGGCTGCTGCTGGCGTTGGCGGCAAAGCCTGCCCCGCTCCCCCGGCCCAAGGGGGACCGTGCCTGCCTGGCACAGATCCTGATCCGCGCCCTGGCGTTCATCGAGGTCTTGCTGGATTCTCCGCTGCGTCAGCGTGCCGGCAGGCGCCACATCGACCTCGCGGTCCAGGCCATGGGCTACCCAGTGGTGCGGGTCCCCACGGTACGTGTACCTCATGCGCTCCGCCACCCTGCTCGCTTGCGTTGGTTCCGTGGAGGCCTCGACGCCGTGACGAGCGGGATCAAGTTCAGTCCGACTCGCCGCATCTACCAGGCTGGCGTCCGTGTGCGGTTCGCGGGGCAGCCGCGCTGGAAAGACCACGTGTCGGCGAGCCGCTTCTGCGCCAAACACGTGGTCGGCCACCCACCTGACGCCCCGCCCGAGCCCCCGCGGCCACCCTACCGACTCGGCAGGCTCGCGGGGACATGGCGACTCCCGGTATGGGGCGACCCGCGCCGGCTGACTAGGGAGTCGTGCCAGGCGCGGCAGGCGTGGTGTTCGAAGGCCCACCTCCATCCTGGGGTCCTGCGACGCGAGCTGCGGCATCTGCGGGGCTCGACGGAGGCCCTCGGCCAGGCTTTGCCGAGTCCCCCTGCGGAGTGGGCCCGCCAGGAGGCCGTGATGCGGGACGGATTGGGGAGTGTCCCCCACTGCATCTACATCGCCGACGATAAGGAGCCCGACCGCATCTGGCGTGCGGATGGTCCAGACACGGTGCGCTACCTCTTGGAGTCCGCAGCGCGCGACCCGTCATGGCGAGTGCGCGCTGACCTCGCGCCTGAGTCCGCCAGCGCCTGGTTGTGGGCACGAGCGCGGTGTGGCCTGCCCGAGTGGTTGCTACACCGACGTCTTCTTCCTCACCTCTCCTCGCCTACGTCTCCACCCTACGCGTTCCCGACGGTGAAGTCGAAGTGCTTCAACGAGAGTGGCCAGCGGACCTGCGGCAAGCCGATGCACAGCTGCTTCAGGCGCGTGGTCAACTGCGCCAACGCTCCGGGCACGTACGGGCACAGGATCATTGGGCGTGGAGGTCGCGCCCCCCTGCAGCAGGCGGGGCTCGCGCAGGAGGTCTTCGATCCCTGCCTGGCTGGCGCGGCCGTGCGGGACATGCGCCAGCATCTCCCCGCCGGGTGCTCGGCGCGCTGTGCGCGGTGCGCCGCGCCGATGCGAGAGCCCAGTGTCGTGGTGGCGGATGTGGACCAGGCCTACGAGCAGTGCACGGCGGATCGCGTCGGCGCTGCTTGGGCTGCGCTCGGACGAGAGGTCGAGCGCCGCTTGGGAGTAGACTCGTGCCTTGTCAAGCGGAGCCGCCAACAGCACACGAAGCGGTGGCAGGGGCCCACTCCTCCGTCCTGGTACCGCGTCTCTTCCGATGACGCGCTGCGGGCCCTGATCAGTTTCTGCTTCGTGAGCCTCGTCGTGATCGGAGGCATCGTACACCAGCTCGACGGCCTCCCGATTGGCGGCGTGCTCTCTGGATTGGCCCTGTCGGCCTTGCTGGGCCACTGCGAGCTCTGCGCAGAGAGGGAGCCCAACAGGTTTGCCGATAAAGGGTATACGACATCATCGTCGGGCTCCGCATCGTTGTGCATCACCATCTGGAGATACGTAGACGACATACTAGCCATGAAAACCAGGTACTGCCGGTCATGTTTGTATGGGTATCTCACGCACGTGTACACAGTTGGTCTCAGCCCAGCCTCGGACATCACAGTATCACCTACACCAGCGACGCCGGCATGCTCGCCAGCATCATCAGCTTCACAGACTACGGGTACGAGTTCGGACAGGTGGCCGCCATCGTGCACGTGGCTGGATTTTGAAATCTACACTGTCGGCGAGTCCTACACGATCATACTTAAGAACGGGGACCGCTTCTGGCTCTGGGGGGAAGAACAGGACAGATGCAAGACACAGATCCTTCCGTGGACGGGAGTGCTACCCCAGGGATTCGGCGCACTGAAATCTCTCTTCGCCAGTCGTCTAGCCAGGGCGCAATTTCTTGAGCTTCCGTCGGTGTTAACAACGATGTGGATGTTGGAGCTGCTTTTTGAACTGCACTTGCTCCGATACCCCCCCTCCCTCCTCATTTCTGTGGGACACGCGCTTCCATGGTCTGTTTCGGCCCAGCAGCTACGAGCTGTAACGCGAATCTGGTTCCGCACCTTCCACCTGTCCGATAGGGTGCCGATGGCGAGCCGTGGGAAGCCCTGGCAGCAGCGCGGGCGCTGGACGGGCGGCGACCGAGCCGTGGGACGCCCTGGCAGCAGCGCGGGCGCTGGATGGTGGATGGGCCGTGGCGACGGGCGCCGATCCGACGACGACGACGACTACAACTTCCGGGGCGACATGCGCGGCCGTGACAGCCGCTGCGACCGAGATGATCGGGGCCGCCGTGGCCGTGACGATCGTTGGGGATACGGCGAGCGTGACCGTGACCGCCGTGGCCGGGGACGGAGTTCGCCGCCGCGCTCGACCTCGCCGCGCCGTGGCGGAGGCGCCCCCGAGCTCAGCAAGAGGGAGCTCGAGAAGGCCCGGGAGCAGCACGCGAAGATCGATAGCGAGTACGCCGCCTTCCTCCAGCAGAAGAAGGACAAGGACGAGGAGTTCCGCTTGCGGAGGCAGGGCGAGTGGCTGGCCGCTTCGCTCAAGGGCACGCTGGAGAACCACTTCGCCTCCCACAAGCAGTCGGGCCCGGACGGCCCTGGCGAGCCTCCACCGCCGGGGGCGTCGACCCCGACGCCGGAGACCAAGATTCCCGACCAGCGCAGCCGTTCGGAGCTGGGCTGGCTCCAGTCAGTATTGGGGAAGAGTGCGCGGCCCACGGAGAGCCTGGACGTCAAGGAGGCCACGGCCGTGTTCGAGCGGGCGATGTCGAACAAAGGAGTTGTCGCCCAGGCTCACAAGCTCATCCACTCCTACTACCCCCGCCGTACGCCGCCGACCTCCAAGGCCGCGAAGGCGCAGTGGGTCATGGCAATCATCCGCGGCAGCCCGATCTGAGACGGCTTCTTGGACGAGCTCCAGACAACCCTCGACGATGGACAGGGGCCCGGATGTGACGTGAGTATCGTCAGTGGCCTGCTATCTTGGCTTGTGGTGTTCATTTATGGCGTGATTGCGGGGACCGTGCTCTCCATGATTTGGTGCATCGTGG